TTTTTTGTGTGGCGAATGTTTTGATAAAGAGACTTTTAGTAAAACCTACATTATCCCTAATCTGTAGGTTTTCTGGCAAGTTGACAGTTGAATATATATCCTACCCTTGGTGGTTATAGGCAGGTTTTTATTACTGGGGCATCTGTGCCTCACCCCTCTCTCTCTTCAGCCTCTAAAAAATGTTCACCTTGCAAAAAATCAACATACATGTAATAAAGAAATGGCTCTCAGGCAATTTTATCTCAGTCACTAAACAGACTCCCCAAACAGTAAGAATGAGGAAGGGAGGCGTGTGAGGTTGCCAAGCAGACAGCTTGCTGAGCCGCATGGTGGGTTGGCACACAGTGAACCATATGCCGGCGCCTGCTGGGACTTTCGCGGCTGCACAGACGGGGCTGGAGCCAGGAGTGGGCTCAGGCGGGAAAAGGGAGTTTAAGGGGAGTCTGTGACCACTCTGGTCCCAGCAAAAGGGACCTGGAGTGTGGACACCTTCCTCCAGGCATCTAGAAAGGAATGGCATCCATCAGTGTCTCCTAAAGTGCCAATGAGATGAGGTGGCTCTTCGTTGCAGCCATGGGGACCAAGGGGACACACTGGGAAGAGCTTAGAGCTAAGCCAGAGGGCAAAGACATGCATTCATGAAGGCAGAGAAGCTTCTATCACAAGGGTCTATGCTGGGTTTAGGAAAGCCCGAATCCAGTCCCGTTGGGAAATTCAAGGCAGTATCTATTGAGCACTGGCAGTTCTACTGGCAGGGGATTCAATTCAATTCAACCAACCAAGTGCCATTCAGGTCAGGGTGTGGTGGAAGGGATGGTCCGGGGCTGCCTATCACTACTTGAGCCAATTCAGCAGAGACAGGGTTGAAACCTATATGAGCATTTACTTCAATCCTGCCGGCAGCATGGGAGAGCAGCAGGTCACCCACAAACATCTGCTCTAACCCCCCACCATAGGCCAGCTGCCTATATTGGGGAGAAAGGCAAAGATGACGTGGGAAAGTAGGAATTACAGGCATGGGTCAGTAGGTAAGGTAAAAGGGTGGGTGCCTCTGGGACTAGACCAGTGATGGCGAACCTATGACACGTGTGTCAGAGGTGACACGCGAACTCATTTTTTTGGTTGATTTTTCTTTGTTAAATGGCATTTAAATATATAAAAGAAATATCAAAAATATAAATCTTTGTTTTACTATGGCTGCAAATATCAAAAAATTTCTATATGTGACACGGCACCAGAGTTAAGTTAGGGTTTTTCAAAATGCTGACACGCCGAGCTCAAAAGGTTCGCCATCACTGGACTAGACTGTTCCGGCCAGGCAGCTGGAACCCTTTCCATGATGATAGGCAGTTCTCGGGACAGGAGGAAGGACTACATTCAGATGTTGGCTCCCATGTCCCAGGGCGTACCACTCCCAGCCAGGTTAGAATGTGCTTTCTCTATCAGAACAGAACCATCACAGTGAACAGAGCATGACTATTTCTTACTAGAGGCCCAGTGCACGGAATTCGTGCACTTGCGGGGGGGGGGGGCCCTCAGTCCGGCCTGCGCCCTCTCGCAGTCCGGGAGCCCTCGGGGGATGTCCGACTGCGTAGAGGCGGGAGAGGCTCCTGCCCCCGCCACTGGGCTCGCCAGCCGTGAGCCCGGCTTCTGGCTGAGCAGCGCCCCCCCTGTGGGAGTGCACTGACCACCAGGGGGCAGCTCCTGCATTGAACATCACAAGGAGAGCCCTTCACTGGGACAACAGAAGACCTTATGGAATATGCAGGTTTCTTAACAACGGCAACCTCTCACATGGTGGGATGAAAGCCAGAAGAAGACAGAGTTCCCTCTGGGGAAATTACTAAACACACTTGATCATGTGACCTGCAATGAACACAGAAAACCACACCTACATGTATGTACAGCTTGACTTTGGAATCGTTATAAGCCAGTAAAACCTAAGTAAAGAGGCCTCAACACGCACAAAAAAATCTCAAATTACGTTACGCTTATTTGGAGCAAGCAGTTCAACAGTCACCTTGCAAAATGTCTAAGTTGGGAATGGGGGCAGCTTGTATTCATTTTCAAATTTACACCTGCCCCCCTATTCTCAGATTGAGGAACATACGTTCCTTTTAGGGTCTGGTTTAGAATCAGCCTCCCTCAGAGTGGTATTCGGAATGGCCGGGCTTAATCTAATTGAATTTTTATCAGAGTTCAGGGTTTCTAGGTTGAATTTTCTCATCTATGGCTGAATTTTAAAGCAACGCTCATTTCCATATGCCCTTGGCCCTGAAGCACCGAGCTCCCATCGTCACATCTCTGACACGGATGCGTCGTCCGATGGCTGCACACAGGTGGCAGCGTCACAGGTGTCACTTGGTGGTCCGCGTGGTGACTCTGTTATGACAGGTCTCCTGCCGTCTCTCAACACTCAGTCAACAAATCACGTAGGCCCCTCCGGGGAAGGAGCAGGAGGCTCGCTTCCCCTCGGAATCTTTTGGGATTTTCTGGGAAGTTTCAAAAACAAGCAGAATGGAAAAAGACAATAGGAGAGACTCTGTTTCTTAAAGTCACAGAGCACCACCACAGGCGGAAAACACGGGCATCGATGATTCAGACACAAAAAGGGAGTCAGAAAAACTGGGCTCGATGTAGAAGTCTGAAGAATTCCTTGGTCAGCCTGGCCAGGATGGCTCAGTGGTTGAGCATCGACCTACGAACCGGGAGGCCACGGTTCAATTCCCGGTCAGGACGCATGCCCGGATTGTGGGGCTTCATCTCCAGTGTGGGGCGGGCAGGAGGCAGCCGATCAGTGATTCTCTCTCATCAGCTGTTAAAGTGTGTATACATTTTTGGGGGACACCCTGTATATAGTACTGTATACACATATATATCTTAATAAAAGCCAGATAGGTCTATGATCAGTACCTAGGATATAGCTCTGAGAAATTAAGGTCCTGTTTACTGCTCCACCTTTATAAAGGAAAATCATTTGTTTTCTTATTTTTATAAGAACACCTATTGTACAGCAAGAGAGCCTAAGGTGTAGTAATATATACATAAGCTGAAATTCGAACGCTGCTTTTTTGTGTGTGTGAGAAGCAATGACTGAATGAAGTTTTAATTCATAGTTCACAACAGAAACGTAAACCGTGCCTTTACCATAAATCCATTAAGAGCTATTTCCTATTTAGAGTCGCCATATACTCAGCAGCACTGAAGAAAGGCTGTTACACGCTCTAGTATTCCCTAGTTTTTATTTTATTTTATTTTTAAAAAATATTTTTATTGATTTCAGAGAGGAAGAGAGAGATCAAAACATCAATGATGAGAGAGAATCACTGGTCGGCTGCCTCCTGCACGTCCCCTACTGGGGATGGAGCCCACAATCTGGGCATGTGCCCTGACCGGGAATTGAACCATGACCTCCTGGTTCATAGGTCAATGCTCAACCACTGACCCACACTGGCTGGGCATATTCCCTAGTTTTAACTTTGGTTGAGTTGACAAGATTGAGGATGAGCTGCGGCAAATAGCAGATTTGCAGGTGTACAGTTAAGCAACTCTTCTGCTCCTCGCTCTCTTCCTAACTCATCTGCATTCTATCCTTCACGATGAATGAAACCCAAAGGACATGCAAAAAAGCTCCAGGAGAAAAATTATCTGCAGATGCAGGTACCCAGAGTGAGCCAAAGGGAATCCATTTTCAGCAACGTGTCAGATAACAGAGTTTCCACAGTGGGAGCCAATTTCATGTTTCTTAAACAGGAAAAGTAATAACGCATTTCTGATCCATGTGGATTGTATCTGTCAATCCACTAAAGTAGGTGTTTTCTACTTTTCCAACGATATTATCAGAGTGAAGCTTTTTAGGCCCAGCCATATCTCATCATTTTTCTTTATTTTCCCATGTATAGAAAAATAGTATGCATGGTGATAAGTGCCTATAACAATATAAATATAATATTAATAATGTATAATATAATATGTAGGGAAGATGACAAGCAAAATGCCCAGCATGTCTAAACAGCACCAAGATGAGCTGTGATGCCAGGCCAGCATGGCTCAGTGGTTGAACATCGACCTATGAACCAGGAGGTCACGGTTCAATTCCCGATCAGGGCACATGCCTGGGT